CGTGAGGCCTCCGCCAGCCGGGGAAAGTCACCCCATGACTGATCGCAGCACGTTCTGCCTGGGGCTCACACAGCATCGTCTTTGTGTTCCTCCCAGCCGCCACCATCCATCACCAGCTAACCTGACAGCCGGCAGCAGAGCCCTAATCCCCCGCCGGCTCTGAATTACACGGGGTGCAGCCTGCAGCCGCCATGGGCACCCATGGGACCCGGGAAAAGCCACCCTGCTTGTCTCTCCCCCAGCAGTTATCTTTGCAGGGTGCTTAGGGGGGTGCAGGCTATCAGCAACCCCTCAGTTGCCCAGACACTGTCATCTCTTGGTGATGGTTGCCTGCCCAGCAGTTATTGTTATCCTTGATTCAATATCTGGCAGGATGAGCCCAATGGACCCATGGACCCCAGACCCCACTGTGTCTGGGATTAGGGTCGTCCTCAGCAAAGAGGGTCTGATGGAGGAGCAGAGCCATGGCCGGGTGGGCACAGCATTATCCCATCTCCCTGTACTTGTGGAAGTGTGGACAGCCTGGATAAGCCCTGCCAAAAGGTGCTGGAGAGAATGCAGGTGCTGGGGCTGCCACCCCAGCATGGGGTCCCTCTTCCCCAGCCCCCATCCTGTGCTGGCACTGGATGCCCTTTCCTCCATGTCTCCACGGACTGCCTCCTGACTCTGCTGCCCACTCAGCCATGGGGACATGATGGCCTCAGTGGCCCATCAGGGCTGGGTCCAACCATGTCCCTCCCTGCTCCTTTCCTGGATGGGGAAAAGTCACCGCGGCGGCTGGGGCCTGCCCCGCCAATGCTGCCCCTCTTTTATGAAGTGCTAAATGCTTGACCGCTCTCTTGTTTGGGTCTGCCACGTGCCCTGTGGAGCCGGTTATGCCACCGCCAGGTTCCTCATCTTCCAAACAACCTCTTGCAATTCAAGTCCCCCATTTATAAGGTAGCACTGGGGTGGCCCTGCAGGCATCCATCACCCAGGGGCCCAGCTGCGGCTCCAGGGGCTGACCGGGGTCATGTCCACCAGCAAGGGTCACTGATAAAGGTCCCCACAGTGAGTCAAACTGCCTGACAGGGTGATGTGAAACTGTTGTGAAGCCCTTGGGCTCAGGTTATCCCCTCGGAACAGCTTTGTGCCTGCTATGGGCATCTATGCAAACTCCCAGGGATGAACCCTGCCTCTTCCCAACTGTTGGAGTGTTTTTGAATATCACAGGGATTTCTTTCCTTCTTGAATATTTCAGGGATTTGATTGACCCTGGGGAGCACAGTGGCTGTGCCGAGGATGAACCTCGAGGCTGTGGGTCCTGTTTTTCTTATTGCGTTTTTTTTACAGATGCTAAAACCATGGGGAAAGCAAATCCCTAGGGCTGAGGCCCTGGGAGAGCTGAAATCAGGATGAACACATGCTATAAGGCTCCTGGCCCCAAAGAAATCACTAGAAAGAGAGAAGATCAATCTGGTGGGTTCCAAAAAAACTGGAAATCAATCCAAAGTGAGCAAGGGTGCTGCCACGGGTGCAGGGAATGTGCTGCACACATGGCCTCTCTGGGGAGGGGGGATTTGGGGAAGGAAAATCCCGTCAGGGTTGGCCCGGCTCTTTGCTGACATTCTTTCCACTGACCGATCCCTTGGCTGGAATCTGGCCTGGAGCAGGAATAGGAGGAGATGGGAGATGGTTTCTGATGTTTCCGAAGGGAAAAAAACCCTTCTGAACTAAAGACAAAGCAGGAGAGACATGGTTTAGCAGGGAAGGGCTGTGGATGGGTTAAAAATCCCACCCCCGCTGCTGTTCATGCAGAGTCCATGACTGTGCCTCAGTTTCCCCACTGGGAAATCCCCATCTTTGCTGGAAGAGGGATGAGGCAGGGGGGCATTGCGGCATTGGTTGTCTACACATACAGAGGCTGGTACTGGAGACCAGTTTGGATGAACCAGTGTTGGGCTGGAAAGGATCCAGCTCAACTTGGCTCCTCTGCCAGGGTGTGGGGACATAGGGGAGAAGGTGTCCTTTGGATCTGGTGAACAGAAACCACAAACGTGGGTTTCGTGCTAAAATGCTGCTCTAGAATAAGGGACTTGGCCCAGGACCTTCCGGAAGGCCATGGTGGAGGAGGGGCTGAGGCCAGTGCACTCCTGCCTGCTCCGTTCCTGC